TTCAGCAAATATTTGTAATATTTTCCTATCTGTTAATGGCATATGGTTTCATTGCTTCAGTCTATCATGAAATAGTCACATATATTTCCTATTCTCACCACTCTTCCACTCAGAGTTTCATTGACAATGAATTACGAGTGAACAATAGTATAGCATTCGATTACTATTATTATTTTTCAGAAGTGTGCCCAGCCTGTGCCAGCACAGTGCTAGCCATTGGTATTAGCCACATTGCAGAGGCAGTCCCTGCCCTCTAAGGCTTATTGACTTGTGGTTTAGGCAGAAAATGAGATGAGCAATTAATTCAAAGTGATAAGAAAGCTATGGGGCTAAGTGTAGAGTTATAAAAATACATGGTGGATGGCATATAGTTCAGACTTTGGTATTTAGGGAAGGAGACTCAGAAAAAATTATATCTAACCTTTGACTCATAGGCCAAGCAGGAATTAGCAATTAACCATGTGAAGTTCTCAAGGAAGAAAGAAGGTGTAGAAGCAAGGTTCTGGGTGGAGGAATAGTACACAGGCATAGAGAGGAGAGAATATGACACATCTTGGGCAGCTAATTCAAAGTGCTGGAGCACAGAGCATCTTCATGTCATCAGAGGCCTAAGTAGGAAGGGTCTTGGAGGACTACTAATGAATCGAGGTTTATTCTGAGAACCCTGGCACTCTGGAAGGAAGAAACTTTAAACATAAAGTTTAGGTAAGAGGATATCCTTGCCTTTTAGCACAATCACTAAAGAAGGATCAAGATTAGAGTTAGAGATACCAGCAAGAAAACATTTGCAGTAATTTGAGTAAGAAACGTTGGTGGCTTGAGTTCTTTTAAGAAAAACAATGAGCAGGATTTAGTGATGAATTGGGTGTTGTGAAAGGCTAGGGTGTTAATTTAACACATTATTTAATAGGTGTTGGATCCCACAGACTTTCTTCCATGGAATGATTTTTGAATAAAAATAATGAGCTTATTCATAAACTCATCAAGATGTTTGTACTCCAGGAAAGGAGCATAGAGTTGCCATACCAATACAATAAGCTGACTCCATCTTTAGAGTAATTGAAAACACAGCCTTGTGTTTGAGCGAAAGCAGTTCGGGCAGAGGACATGCATAAAAGTGTAAGATTCCCATCCTCAGGGGGTTCTAATGATCACAATCTCACCAGTGCTCTTGAGCACCAAGGAAAGAAGTGACAGTTGGCACAAATCCATGATGGATTGATTAGTAGCTATGCATGTGGTTTTGAACTTCAGAATAGCAGTGAGGTCATCACTTTTAGGAAATTTTAAAGTACTAGAATATGGGGAAGCATACATTTCAACTTATAATTAAAGGCATTTAATTAAATGGGAGTTGTTTGGGGGGGGTACTTGTAATTTGAAGAAACTGTTAAGAGAAAAGAGAAAACTAGAGACAGAAGGTACAAACTCCAAAGCAGTTTGCTAAAATGGATGAAGAATCAACAAGGGAAAAGGGTAAGGTCAAAAAATTCTTACACTGAATTTCAGTTGCTTTTGTATAAGAATGTATCTTTTGTAGTTTGGGTTTTTTCTTCACTACATATTCTCCAAGAATAAAAGAAAAGGAAGAGAAAAATAATATTCTCCTTCAAGAAAACATTTCCAGTCACAACAGATTGCTACTCAATCTCTTTATGAACTGCCAAAAACAAAAGCAAACAAAACAAAACAAACATGTGAACTTCTGTTATGTCCACATGGTATGAGCTCTTTTCCTTCAAGATGAAATATTCCACACTTGGTGCATTTTCTACTATTTACAATCTGAAGAGAAAAATAACAAAAGGTGATCCTTACAAAAGTTTGACTCTCAAGCTTACATGGAACTTATGTACTTTATTTTGGTTTAGTTTTTAACTTTTTTATTGTGAAATATAAGCACACATGCAGAAAAGAGATACAGAACAAAAACGTTAAGTTCTATGATCTATTACACAATGTACATCCTGTAATCATGATCTAGGAATAAATTGAAAATTGCCAAGACCCAAAGTAGTCCTGGTGTATCCCAGTATCTCTTACTTCCTCTTTCCCCAAATTTCTACTACCATAATTTTTTCCACTCCCATAATTCTTATGATAATCACATTCATACCTATCTTTATGGTTATATCACATACATATGCATCATTTAATGCTATAATATAGTGTCAGATTTTTGAAATTTATAAGAATGGAATCAAATGGTATGCATTCTTTTAGTCTGCAGTCTCATTCCACACTATATTTGAAGATTTATCCACAGTTTTTGTGGTTATGTATTCATGCAATTCATAAGAATTGAATGGATGTGCCAGAAATTGTTTATCTATTCTACTTTTGATGGACTTTTGGGTTGCTACCATTTTGGAGTTATTATTAGGAACAATGCTACTATAACATTCCTGAGCATGTCTCTTGGTGCACATGTGCTCATTCCCACTGGGTATCTGGAGTGGAATTATTGAGTCAATAGATTATATGGAAGTTGAGTTTCAGTAATTAATGGCAATAAGTGGAGGGTATCATGCTGAGTGAAGTAAGTCAATCAGAGAAGGACAGTCATCATATGGTTTCATTCATATGGGAAATATAAGAAATAGTGAAAGGCATTATAAGGGAGAGGAGGGGAACTGAGTGGGAAAAATTATAGAGGGAGACAAACTATGAGAGACTCCCTAAGTCTGGGAAACAAACAAAAGGTTGCAGAAGGAGAGGTGGGCGCCGGGTCGGGGTAAATGGGTGACGGGCACTGAGAAGGGCACCTGATGGGCTGAGCACTGGGTATTATATTATGTGTTGGCAAATTGATTTAAATTAAAAAATGTAAATAAAAAATAATAAAGAAATAAAATCTCAAAATGGAAAAAAAAATGTCAATAAGTTTTCTGAGAGGTTACCAATTTACACTCCAATCATCAGTTTATGAGAGTCCCTTTTGACCCACTTCCTCACCAGCACTTGTGATGGCTAGTTGTTTCTTTTTTTAACAGTTCAAGTCAGTGTTGAGGGGTTGCTCATTTTGGTTTTATTTGCATTTTCCTTTTTAAAAAAATTTTTTTTTGCATCTTCCTGATTGCTAATGCAATTGAAACCTTTTTTATAGGTTTATTAACTTCTGGATTTTCTCTTTGAAGTGCCCATGCAAATATCTTGCCCATTTTGCTATTGGGCTGTCTTTTTCTGATCCATCTTTAGGCATCTTCTTTAATATTCAGTATGTGAATCTTTAGTCAGGTATACATATTGCACATACTACCACTCAGTGTGTGCCTCACTTCTTTACTCTCTTCATAGTGTCTTTTGTTGAAGTTTTTACTTAGTAGTAGTGTCTTTGGATAAATGGAGATGTTGACTTTAATGTAGCCCATTTTATCAATCTTTTCCTTTATGGTTAGTGCCATTTTTTGCCTCTTGAAAGGTTTTTCCTTACTCTAAGGTCATAAAGATATTCTCCTCAATTATCTCCTGGAGTGTTAGTATTTGCTTTTCACACTTGTATATAAAATCTACTTGGAATTGGGATGCCTGAGTGGCTCAGCGGTTGGGGGTCTGCCTTTGGCTCAGGGAGTGATCCTGGATTTCCGGGATCGAGTCCCACATCAGGCTCCCTACATGGAGCCTGTTTTTCCCTCTACCTGTGTCTCTGCCTGTCTCTCTATGTCTCTCATGAATAAATAAATAAATATTTAAAAAATAAAATCTACTCGGAATTTATTTTTTGTATATGTATGAGGTAAAGGATAACTTCCATTTTAAAAAATATTGATATCCAATTACCCCAATACATTTTACTTCTGCTGCTCTATAGAGCTATCTTTTAAATAAATCAAGTCTATATATGCATAGGTCTGTTTATGTGATTCCCATTCTAATTCATTGCTCTAACATATCCTTAAGTCACTGTTTTAATTACACATTATTGTTGTAATCTGTAGTCAATATTCATTGGGATTTACCCATGCATTTGCCTTTTCTATTGCTTTCTCTTCCTTCCTACATCCCATACTTTCATCTGAATTTGTTTTCCTGCTACGTGATGGCTATTTATCAGTACAGGTTCTCAGGTGAGGAATTTTCTCAGTTTCTGTTTTTTTGAAAAATATTTACTTTTCACTCTTGAAGAATACTTTTGTTGGATTTAAAATTCTAGGTTAGGGATCCCTGGGTGGCTTAGAGGTTTAGCGCCTGCCTTTGGCCCAGGGCGTGATCCGCTTTTTTTTTTTTTTTAAGATTTTGTTTATTTATTCATGAGAGACACAGAGAGAGGCAGAGACACAGGCAGAGGGAGGGAGCCCAACTCGGGACCCAATCCCAGGACCCTGGGGTCACGCCCTGGGCCAAAGGCAGACGCTCAACCAGGGAGCCCCCCAGGCGTCCCTGTCTTCAAACTTTTGTATCACCAGACAAATGTTACACACAAATTTGCCAGGCACTTCATGGCAGATAACACCCAGTGAGGAAGGTCATCTGATTTGTCTTGCAGTATAACTATTCCATGTTTGCTTGTATTGGTCATGTTGTACATTACGGATTGAGGAACTACTTGCTTTGGATTTATGACTTCTTCTAGGGATGTTTTTTTTTTTTCATTTTTAATGGCATCTATTTTAGCAATCACAACATTCTTACAAAAGCATAATTTTAATAGGCTTATCTGCTCAGATATTTTATAGCAGCTCTCACATAGACAGATTTATGAATCATCTTTAGTGTACAAGGAGCCTATAGAATTAAGAAATATCATCATATAGAGAAATGTAGTGAAGTTGAAGCTTGGAAGAGATCACATGTAAAGAATCTGGTTGCTGCCTTAAATCAACCATAAATAAGCCATCTACTGCAATAATCACCCCCAAGACAAATAACAACAGAAGACAGTCACACATGACAAAGTGGTTCCCAGAGGAGTTCTTCTCTAATAGAGACAGTAAATGGGTGCCAGCTCATTCCTCAGGAAAGGATTCGTACTAAATACCCAGAAACAGCTGTCAGCCAAAGGCATTATTTGCTTTAATCACATCTCTGTGTCTTCAGAATTGGAAGAAGAATGTGAGGCTGTACTGTGAGCTCGTTCTTTTGCCACATGTGACTCGAGCTCTGGTTCTGCCAGTGTTTCTTCTTTGGAATCAGGAATTTCATCCAGTGGATCAGCCATGGAGGAAACAACAGGGATTTTCTTAACCTGGAAATAATCATAGGCCTTCTTTCCACAGACCAAGAGTGTGACATTCTTCCCACTGCTCTGGATTCTGTCTACCACCTTCTCATAGGGTTCATCCACCACCTTCGCTCCATTCACTTCAATGATGATATCTTCATCCTCCAACCCTGCCAATTCAGCAGGGTTGCCCTTCTGTACCTCTTTGATGAAGCAGCCTGGCTGACCCTGAATCGCGTTTAAGTGGAAGCCATAGCCATTTTCGCCTTTAATCAGCCTGCAGAGCTTAGGCTTATGATTTCCTACTTCCTCTGTAGTATCTGAACTTGAAACCTCTGGAGGAGCAAGAGTAGGAGCTGGAGCCTCCTTGACAGAACCATTAGGCAGTTCTTGACTTTGATAGTAGAGAAATGAAGAAAAATGAGCCAGTCTGTACATGTTGTCCGTCTCTTTGTCTACCACCAGCAGCGAAGTCTGATCTCCGCCCTTTCTAATCATTTCCACCACACTGTCATGATCCAGGGATTCCACAGACTCGCCATTGACAGCGACCAGCAGATCATTGTTCTTCAAGCCAGCCTCCTCTGCTGGACTTCCGGAATCTATGTCCTTGATGACTTGACCTTTCTGTTCTGGACCTGCCCTCAGATAGAAACCATATCCATTGCCTCCCTTCTTCATCTCTACGACCCGAGGCTGGCGGGGTAGCAGTTTCAGACTGGCTGTTTCTCTCTTGAATTCTATCTTCTGCTCAGTATGGAGCTTGTCAGTCTCCTTGACCACCAACAGGAACATGACATGGCTTCCAGAGTTCACCTTTGCAACCACTTCCTCATGGCTGGCATCTTCTACATTCTCTCCATTCACTTCAATCAAGTGATCACCTGCCAGGACACCAGCTTTCATAGTCACACTTTGAGCCATAGTAGCTGTTCCCTTCCTTCACCAGGTAGCAGTTCCTTATTGGGCTGCTTGCATAGAGCCTGCTTCTCCCTCTGCCTGTGTCCCTGCTTCTCTCCCTCTCTCTGTGTCTCTCATGAATAAATAAATAAGATCTTAAAATAAAATAAAATAAATAAAATTCTAGGTTAGTGATACTATTCTCAGACCCATAAATATATTATTTCATTGTATCATTTTTATTTACTTTTTGTCTATTGAGAAGATGGCTCTCTGTGCAACTGTTGTCCTTTGATGACTGTCCTATTTCTCTTGCCTTTGTAAAGGCAGCTGGGATTCATTGGGTTTGCTATGATATACCTATGTATGAAATGTTTTAATCCTGCTTACAATTTTTAAGGATTCTTAAATCTCTAGTTCAATATTTTTCATCAACACCTATCTCTTTAAAAAAAAACACACAAAAAACCTATCTCTTCAAATATTTTTTTCTGTTCACATTGTCTCTTTCTTCTATGTCTGATATTTCAAATACTTACATATTAGAATTCCCACTGCATCTTCTAAATCTTATATCCATTTCTCAGTATTTTTCTTCTATGGCTCTCTGCTTTCTTCCAGATATTTTCTTTTTTCTTATTTTGTAGCTACTAATTCTGTCTTTAGCTGGGTCAAATTTCTTATAATACCTAAGCAGTGATTTCTTAATCTTGATAAATTGATTTCGATTGCAGAATTTCCATTTAGTTTTTTCTTTATAACTTTCAGTTCTAATTCTCAATCTTGTCTACTATTTCTTTGAACATAGAATGCACAGTTATTTTACAGTTTGTGTTTTATATCTCCGTATATAAAGAGACCTCCTAGATCCGTTTCTTGCTTTTGTTTCTGCAGATTTCCTTGAATGTGCTATTTTCTCCTAATGTAACTGGATTTTCATGATGTACCAGAAATTGATTGTGCAAAACTGCGTAAAGAAATACTTTGAGGCTTATGGTGGTGTTATCCTCCTCCAGAGAGAGGATCTACATTTGCTCTCACCAGGGGCCTGGGCAGTATTGGGATTTACTCAGTCCAATTTTAAGGATTTCGTGGCCTAAAGCTGTATCTTAGCCACTCTGGAGGACTTTTGCTTTTTGTTCATTCTTAAGGTGTGGCCACACAAAAGCAAGGAGAATCACCAGAATGCCACTCCTTTGACAGGTTCGACCTCAATCATTGATCTCTGCTACTGCTAGTTTGCTAAAAGCCTAGCTTAGCCTCACAACTGCCCCATTTAGAGTCAGAAATGTTCATGGGAAAAAAATGGACTCAAATCTCAGACTCATCTTCCCAGGTTCCTATGTTTTCTCATATTCTGTTCCAATAATTCTTTACTATCTTGGTAGATTTCCCCTTCCTGAAGTATACAGTTTGTCTAGTTTGCTCATTTCCTTTATGTTGGAAGGTTAATTGGAATCCCCCCGCTTGGAGCAGAGTCATTTTTTTAAAACATGTACTTATGGCCTCATCTTTTTAAGAAAAAGAAATACATTGGAAGGTAAAATTATCAGCACTTCATAACTTATCTCAAAGCCAGGGAAGTGTTGTGGATAACACTTCAGGGGAAAGTATAAAATATGAAGTTTTAAAAAATTCTGATCTGATTATATTTTCACTGTATTCTTTGTTTTATTAAGGATATTAACAAAATATAACTAGAAACTCTACAAGGGAAGTCACTGCTAGATGAGTGAATAAGACTTTGGAAAGTGTGCTTTCACCTAACGTGCCTTTAGGATCCTAAACGTAGCCAGAATTTTAAATGCATGATTTGGTTCATAGTGAAAGGAAACATAGAAAGTATCATGATTGTGTTTTTCTGACTATGAATTCTAAGGCTTTATTTGTTGTGGGTTAGACATAATAGAAGAGAAGCAGACAGATTTCTTTTTTTTTAAGAACTAGAGCAAAGCAGGAAAATGATAGTAATCTAATGATGTTCAATATGTGATTTAAAATTGAGATGAGCTATACTTGCATTTGAATAGTAAAATGGTTTTAACTTTTCTGTCTGGCAATAGGCCAGAATTGCACAGTGAAAACAGAATTGTAAACTATTTTAGAATTTGCTAACTAAATTCTTTATTGTTTCACATTAGCCCTGTAGTCAGCTTACTCTCTATCTTGTGATAGGATTTAATTAGATCAAGGCACAGGTTATGATGACTATACTCATTTCCTTTTTGCTTTTAGAATAAAAACCAGCATAGAAAGAACTATATTTATAGGTGAAAAGATAGAAAGCCATGGGCTGGTAATCTTTCATACTTCATCTGGGAGCATTTGTTAGATTCTTTAAATATTCTACACTGATGGGACTAAAGTGAAGGAGGCAATGGGAAGGAGTAATACAGAGCTGGCAGGAAGTGTGGCAGGTTTTACACAAGGGAGGGTAAGGTATTGTTGTGGTCTAAGAACAACCAATTTCACACTGCCAGGCTCCATCCAAAATTAGGTACCCAAGTCCTTGGCTGCTGTCAATCTGGCAGACTAGACACTTGAAGGGTCCTCAGAGGGGGAAAAAATTAGATCTGCATAAAACATATTTTAATTGGATTTCAGGACTTGCAGGAAATAAAGGAAAACCTGCCACCTAGAAACAAAAACACAAAAATATATGCTGAAAAAGGTATCATTAAACAAACTCAAAAGTTAATTTTGCCTTAAATATACATGCCTATATGAGTGCTACATCTGGGAAACTGTCTTTGGCCATAGGCAAAATGGGACAAATAAATCAAAGACTCCAGAATTAATCCAAGAACTTTCTAAGGGGGATAGAATTGCCCAAGGTCAGTAGTACTTTCCTGCTTCTAATAGAAACAAACATAATTCTTCTCCAAAGGTAAGCATCCTCAATTTTTCATGGGTAAAAAGAAGCCAAAGAGATCAGAATCAAAGATCACTAAGCATATAAGAAAATTAACCACTGAGTGGATTTTACTGGAATTTCCATAAGCAACTTATGATATTGGAGTCATCAAATAATACCTACTAAAATAACTGAGTAGATATCTTTAAATTTAAAAAACTGAATTATGACTACATTTAGCAAGACTTTCATGTGGTGGCTTGTGCACCCCATTATATTCTTTCAACCCTACCTCTTCTTTAGGCACTGAAGAAGCTTTGGGACTTCTCTGCCATCACAGTGTGAAAGTGCACTTGGCACTCACTATCTGGGGGAAATTCATGCCATCTTATGATGGTTACCCTCCTTGACCATTGGAAATAATTTAAATGCAGTCAAATTCATTAATCTTTTTGTCATAGTTTTTTCCACATCTTATTTCTTAAAAATGTTCCATATCGAAAATTTGTCATGATCTCTTTTCTCTCTCTCTCTCTCTCTCTTTTTTTTTTTACATTTCATTTACTCATTTGAGAGACAGAGAGAGAGCAAGTGTGAGCAGGAGGGAGGGGCAGAGAGAGTGGGAGAGGGAGAAGTAGACACTCTGCTGAGTAGGGACCCCGAGGCTGGGCTTGATCCCAGGACCCTGAGTTCATGACCCAAGCCAAATGCAGATACTTACTTGACTAAACCACCCAGGTGCCCTCATAATGATCTCTTCTTATACTATCTTTTAAATTTTAAAGGTTTGTCTTCTACATTTCAGCCTAATTTACTGGAATTATCATTTCATGAGGAGGTATAATTGAAAGATTCAATTTTGTTTTTCTTTAAGTAGGGATGACAAATTGTCCTAGTTCTTAGCAGGAGTCTTAATCTAAGTTCTTCATTCTGTTCAATGGATAGATGTATCCGTCTCTGTTCTAATACTATAGTTTGTTAATTAATTTAGGTTTACAATAGATCTTGATACAGGAATATTTCTTCTCTCATTCTTATTGTTCACTTTCTTTAATGACTTTGCTACTCTTAGAGTTTTGCTCTTCTATATAAATTCTAGAATTATTTGTCAAATTATTGAAAAAACTACTTAGCATTTTTTAACTGAATTTAAAATTTTGTTGGAGATAACTTATATCCTTATGATTTTGAGTCTTCCTACCCTTGAATATAAGATATATTTTTAAATCTAAAACTCTCTCCACACTCAAAAGATAACACTCAAAAGAACTCATCTTGGGTATCTTTTGTTAGATTTATATCTATCTTTGTACCTTTTATTTTCTGATTCAACTATAAATGGTACCTTTCATAGATTATTTTTAATAATAATATTTTATAAAAATATTAATGCAATTTTCTTTGCACACTGATCTTGTATTTAGCTGCCTTGCTATCGTTTCTCACTATTCTTATATTTTAATCTACCTATTCTTTGTTTTCTAGGTAGACTATTATGCCATATGCAAATAATGAAAATATTTTTTTTCTTTCAGACACTTAGGACACTGTCCTTGGCTACATGACAGTTTAGCTATTGGGATGCTATTGAACATGATTGTAGCAGACATTTAAAATATGGATGCACAATTGGACTGGTCCTCTGAACTCCTATCTTTAGCCTCAAGAAGACCATGGCTTGAATAACCATTGTTCCAAGGAAGATGAAAGACATGAGTTGCAGATCTGGATTCATCCCACAGCTTGGAGCAAGCTTAGCCAAGCCCAGACTATATCAGCCAAACCTCAGTAAAGTGAGAAATAAACGTTTATTGTGGCATATCACTGAAATTATGTGGTTGTTGTGGCAATAGCAGACTGATACAACATTGAACCTCTAATCATGGGAGAGTGCTCCCTTGTCAATAAATGTTCCTGACCAACCTTACAATCTGCTGCCATTTATATTCTGCTCCTTGTAGTCCTATACCCTTAAAGACCACCCTCATACATAGTCTCCTGGTTCTTGTTTTATATTTGCCAAGTTTAGCAATTTTTTGATGTGTAAGCTATCTTCTCCCAAAGCAAAGCAGAGGACCACACTTGTGCTCTGCAGAGACTTGACACTATTGTTTGGCCTGTAGACAATACATGATGAAAGGTAGATTGAGGA